TGCAGTGAAAATGTCCTGTGTGATTGTGTCCTTCAGTTTGTGAGTGTTGAACTTGCATTGTGGCCTATCCCCAGGTATCCTCGAGGCTTTCAGCTTCACCTTGAAAGTCCCTTGTACTAGATAGTGGTCTGAACCCACATCTGCTCCTCTCCTCGATTTTGTGTCCAGTAGGCTCCGTCTCCACTTCCTTGAGATTGAAATGAAGTCTATCTGGTTTTTGGTGTGTCCATCTGGTGAAATCCATGTTGCCTTGTGTATATCCCTGTGTTTGAACACACTGCCACCAATCACCAAATCATTGAAGGCGCAGAAGTCTGAGAAGAGTTCGCCATTTTCGTTCATTTCACCGAGGGCCTCACGACCCATGGTGAGTTCTCTTCCTGTATTGTCTCCTCCCAGTTTCGCATTCATGTCGCCCATCAGGATTTTGATGTCGCTCTTTGGGACGTTGTCCATTACTGTTTGTAGTTGACTGTAGAAATCCTCCTTCTTCTCATGTTCTGAGGCGTTTGTAGGCGCGTAGCACTGAATGACTGTAACCCTTTTTCCTTTTGAGTTGAACCTGGCTGTCATTATCCTGGAGGAGATTGGTTCCAACTGCATGAGAGCTTTAGCCGCTGTTGGTGACATCATGATGGCTACTCCCTCGGTGTGCTCGTGATTGTCCTCTGGGTGACCGGAGTAGTTTATTGTCTCTCCAGTTGATAGTTGGCTCCTTCCACATCCGTTCCATCTTCTCTCGCAGATTCCCAACACTTCTATTTTATATCTCCTCATTTCTGCGGCTACCTGAGCAGCCTTCCCAGCTTCGTACATTGTACGAACATTCCACGTCCCCATCCTTATTTTCGCTTTCATCGAAAGAAGGCACATCGGCTGACTGGCTTCCCGAAGGCTTTCACCAGCCTGCGTCATTTCACTTCCCCGATTCCAGCGAAAAATAAGGTCACTATTTGTAATTTTAGAATTTTGAATATATTTGTGCGTTGAAGTTTTCGTAGCAATTTGGTTAAGTTTTGGGGGTGGAGTTGCTAGCACCACGCCCCAACCCTCCCTCTTTATCCGGGCTTGGGACCGGCTAGAATACTAGTGACCTAGTAATCTAGGCGAGGTTGTGATGTGCTTGAATTGAAATAGAATTTTGAGATTATTTATTATCCTCCTCTGATTTGACTGACTGGTGGTAATAATATCCTCCATATTTCTGGTATTTGAGTTGAGTCATTTTTGTTGCATGTGTTGGGTGTTGGGTGACTTAATCAAAATAAATTTTACCCATAATTGAAGCTTGTCAGGCGGTTTTCAAGTGCTTCACTCGCAGTGTCACCGCTAAATTCTAAGTTTAGGTGAAACACTTTTCTTAGCTACCTTTTCCCTCTCATTGTATTTCTTCAGTTTGTGACTCGTAATCCTATACACCAATATTATTATCTCATTTTAGTGTTTTCATTCATTGTCAAACTTTAACACACACACACAAGAAAACTGATTTTTATTGTGTATGGTAATTCATTTATACGACTGTACAGCTATGAGAATGAAATCGTTGTAAAGAGAATTTTCTTCACTGAATTTTTTCTTTTCATATCTCAATGAGGATTATTAATTTAATTTAAAATTACTTTTACTATGTTCATAAATATGACTTCACATAGATCACTAATGGTATTATTTTTTTGGCTGGTTCTTCTGTGATAGAGATGTCATACGTCTAGCCCTTTGTTTTACTGTTGTTGTTGTGCAAACTGAATTCTATCAGAGTGGTCACCACCATGCCTCTAGGTGAGCTGACCATCGCGCTGCACTTTGAATGGATGTTAAGTGATCATAGGAATTTGACAGGAAACCCTACTTGACCTAGATTTTGTGCTTGGTGGCACTCACCAGTCAGCAAAGCTGTGGATCTGTAATCATGAAGGGAACTTATATCCCTCGTCTGAGATTCAAACCCGCGTCAGTCTGCACCAAATCAAGGACTATGCATAGGATATTGATTACTGCCTATTGACCAATTGAAGTGATGGATTGTAGGGATTTGATTGGTTACAGATTTGATCATGAGTTGACATCAGTTAGAGAACCATTAGAAAACCACCTGGGAGCTGTTTCTCTTGCGCTGTCTATGTGGCGTATTGGAAAACGTTGGAGTTCATGAAGTAGCTAGCCATTGAATCGCGGTTCCCTGCGACTGAATCGTTTATCTGCTCGTTTCGTAACCAGTAGATTCTCGGGTTCAAACCCCGGTGGGGGTGCGTGCTGATGAAGAATTTTCAGTTAGAAAGGGTGAAAAGCTGTCCAATGCTCTCAGATTCTCTAATGGCTCTCTATCTGATGTCAGCTGGGGATCAAACCTGTAACCAGTGGAAGTATCCAGTAAAATTCCACAGAAGGTCTGTCACGAGGCTGAATATCCAGGTCACTGACTGCAGTACTGGGTAACGTGGTCGCTTCGAATCTCAAAGGAAGCGGAGGGGGACATGTATTCCTTCAGGATTTCAGATACGCTTTACTGACTGGTGGTGAGTGCCAATAAGCATGAAACCTGGGTGTCCAAAACTTCCTTCCGATTGCTTAGCAACTATGTAACGTCAATTCAGGCATGAAGTATGCCTGTTAATTAACTTGTACAGCTCTCTCTTTTATCCTCTATCAGTTTGAACATGTATTACTCTTTTTTACTCTTTATGCTTAAGACTTTTAATGTATGAAAAATTTGACTGTCAGTAATCTGAAATTCTCAATGATGGAAAAGTTTTTTCCACCTGAAAAATCAGTGTTATGCTTTCTTGTGTACGAAGGCTGTCTAACATCATCGATTGTAGGGAGTCACCTCTTACATTTATCTGGCTAGGTAGAATCGTTTCAAACATAATAGGCGGCACAAGTGAAGATGTCAAAGCGAGAATCATCAGAAAGACAAGATAAACATTTGACTACTATGAAATCAGCCTGCAAATCTACTGGACGAAACGTAAAGAAGATTCATGATTGTTGTCAACACTAATGTCAAGGCAGTCAGTGTTTAGTAATGTGTTTCAGAAACTTGGCGTGTGTCACCAAAAGCATTTCAGATGAACAAACAGAGAGGACTAGTAACAATGAACTCTGACTATTAATGAACCAACTAAAAAAGCTATTACCCAGAAAATATGTCGAAGAAAATGGAGATGGTTTGAACATACACTGAGAAGATTTTTGACTGACATTGCGCGCCACTCTCTTGAGAGGAACACGAGTGGAAAACGATGAGTTGGTCGTCTGTCCGAGTGTGACACGAAGGAGATGGAAGCCTATGGTCAGCTGTGGAGCTAGCTGAAGACAACTTCAGAAAACAAGGTGAAATGGAGATGTGCTGTTGAAGCTTGATGTCGTACTCGGAACTAGACTTGGCTCATGGTGTAACAACAGTAGACAAGGGCCAGGCAACAGAACCTTTATTACGGAAAATCAACACGTATTTATAGATTTTTATGTACATTATTGTAGGTTAATGTTAGTAGAAAATACAGTCTGTTGATTGGTTGTTTCTCACACAAAGTTAACCTTGCATCTCTTGTGGCTATGTCAGTTCATCTATATGTTAACTGTATCCGCCTGTTCATCTTGACCTTTGACCTCAATTACTGTCAACCAATTTGGCTAGCAACCATCTCTCACCACAACATGACTAATATTTGATACATAAACATTGATCTCAATTACTGTCAACCAATTGGCTAGTAGGCAGCTCTCACCACAATGGTACTTACGACTGATTGTCTTGTTACAACTGTACACGTACTACGTAGTAGTCACTAAACACACTAGCGAATGTAGCTATTTAGTATTTAATACTAATTGAAATGTATCCATTAATTCTGGTGGTGACCCCTCCCCAATGGTTTTTTCATGTAACAGACTTTAAGCCACGTTTATTCAACATGTTTCTGATGATACTACGTATTTGCTCTCTGGAAACAAACCATCCAACAACATACTGCCAAACACTATGAATTATTGGTATTAGATAGTTGGAGGAAATCATCGATAGGAGGCCCTTGGACCTAGGTTTCGTGTTAGTTGGCACTCATCAGCCAGCAAGGTGAATTTGCAACCACCTTGAAGGAACTCATGTCTCTCCTGACGTTTGAATTCGCGTCACCCAGTGATGTCAAGCTGTAACCAAAAATAATAAAAAAAATAATTATAATGTCGTCATAGACACGTTACCACTGAGCTATTCGCTCTCGCGATTGACCTCCAGTAGGACTGTATTACTGACGAGTGCCAACTGGCAGGAAACCCAGGTCAAACAAGCCTTCCTGCCGATGACTGTTTCGAACCATGTAATACTAACAATTCATGGTTTACCATGATGACTAGCCACCTAGAATGGTGGCTACATTGCAAACTTGACTGATAGAATTCAATGTGCACCATAAAACAAAGGACCAGACACAGTACACTAGTTACTAACTAGTGTCCAATCAAAAATGTAGCCAAACAGATATTCAGAAGAAAATGGAGACGGATTAGACATACGCTGAGTGGATATCACTCGCCAGGCCATAGAGTGTAACCTGAATGAGAAACGACGAGTTGAGTTCTTTGTGTGTGCCCGTGTCCGAGGGTGACATCCTTAAAGAGGAGATGGAAGGTTATGGACAATCGTGGAACCCATATAAAGAGAACACAGGATGGAATAGAGGTGTGCTTTTGAAACCCAATGTGCTGCCACTGGGGGAATACCTATGGGAATAATCATAAATAAAGGAACCAGAGGTGGCATTCATCAAACACGGGACTCACCAGTTGAAATTTGAATCTAATGACTCGCATCTCCAACTTTTACCAGCACAATCAATACTCAGGCTAAACAGAACGTCATGACCATCGACCACTAATATCTCGTAATATCTAACATCGGATGTATATAAATGCAATACTGTATTGACATAGCGTTTTTCAATTTATACTTATGTTAACTAGATAATTTGGTTTCCATTTTTTAACTCATTTAGATCATAAATTCCAATGTCCACATTGTCCTAAAACATTTCGATTAAAAAGATACTTGGAAGGTCATGTGAAACGAGTACATGCAAGTAAGTGTGTGTGTGGTTGGAGGGGGGAAATTAGAACCAAAGAATTTATTCTTTTCTTGCTTTTTTTCTTAATTGAGATCTATTTCATGATCGATCAATCAACTAAACAACAATTGTTCAAGTAAATTTAGATCAATTCATAGAAGATAAGTGAAGGAAGTGACCCCTTTCGAATTCCTCGCGTTGATATTGATTGGTGCTGGTTGTTGTTGCAGTTTGTTGGTTATCTTCATCACCTCCGTCTTCTCTATGTTCACCTAGATTCCGGTCTTTTGGTTATCTCTTATAGATGTTCGAGTTTGTTTGCGTAAATCATCCACTGGCGGGATCCAGATCTTCTAGAGCCTCCTTACTGACCTAACGTATTCCTTCATGTCTTCTCACTCACTCACAATGCACAGTCTGATACATAATCCAGTCCAGTATATAATTAGGAGTATCATAGGCGATAATAGGCAGGTAGCCAGCCTTGTCTTACTCCTGTATTCACTTCGAAAGTCTCACTGAGTTTCCCGTTGTAGATCACCTGACCAATGGGATTGTCATACAGCCAGCTGTTGAATGAGGTTGGTATAGATTTGGCGCACTGCACGCCATAGTGTAGGGGAGTTGATTTAGCATACAGCAATAATGAATGGAGCCAAATAAAAAAATATTTGGAAGATTTAATAACACTCTGTTCTGACGCTAACCACTCTGTCGACGATCAATGGTAACTAACACAGATTTAGGGTGGAAAAAAGGTTATGGGTAGTCAGAGCAATGACGGGAGGTTGTCGGTGTAGCATGGCTCAGTGTCGTTCTCTCTCCCAATCGCATAGATGCATTCACTCCTTATATGGTCTTCTACGTTCAATAAATTCTCACTAATCTTCATGTGATTCATAAGTTGTAGTACTTTGAATCACGCGCTTCTGTTCAAAATTCAACACTATTGATAATCCAGTTCAATTTGGCGCATAAATCAGGTAAATATTACATTCCTATATGTAGAAATAAGGAAATCACGAAATAATTTACATAGTTCGCGGTAAAATGTCACCTGAGTTTCGTTTGAAAAAAAAATTCCCCAGCCAGTGTTAGTGTGTTGGGTTGATAAATTGAGATGAGATAAGCCGACTGGCTGGCTAGCTACACACCGCTAACAAACTCAGTCTCAAACGAACAGAATAGCCGCTGGTTATGTTTAAATCACTTTGACCTAACTAGTAAGCTGTGTTCTTATCGATTTGCTGCAAACTACTTATTCGCTGGTTTTACTAGTGACATGTCACTGACTACTTTTTGACGTGAGGAATACCCATCTACTCATATGCATCAATCAGTAGTATATAGAATTTTGCATAATTTATTCACTATCGAGAATTTCATAAGATTCATTGTCTCCATATTATTGATTTTATCACTATTTTGCCTTAAATAGTGTCGTGTACTCATCTAAATTCTATTTTCTTCCATTTCCGAAATAGGCTTAGGAAAAGGTAATCCTCAACCACCACCCGGTTGACCGATGCATTGTTTTGTTCTCAATGGCGCGTACAACACACCAACAAACACATACTCACTTGTAGACAATCTCAGATTGATTGGTGACCATTGGCTGCACATTCACTCGCTCACACACACACAAAGAAAACACATTAAATCTCTTTTATAGTCCTTTTACATTTATCATTAAAAATTATGAATGTTACTGACGAAACGTATAATATTTGGGGTCGAAAGCAGAAGAAGACGAAGAATCATTTGTTTACTTCTTCCTTCCTTCCCGTCCAGTCCTGCTCTAAACAAAGTCTTTTAATCATTGTGTATCAATATTATCATTGCCATTATTACTACTACTAATACCACTATTACTATTACTATTATCTTTTTGTATGTATGTATCTGTGTGTGGGCGAGTGATCGACCGCCTGGCTCATCGCGTGTTGAATCGTGTTTTTATATGCAGACAGCCACTGACCTTGAAATTCTTCTCAATTTAAACAAATAAATGGCGCGCGCGCGCACGTACGCACTTAATGAATCAATAAAGAAAGCTCTTAAATGTAAATAGAAGCGTATGTTATGCTTCAAAACTCTTTCCTCTCTTTTTGTACTCTACTACACTATTTAACTTAATTTATATTAAATTAATCAATTATTTATTTTATAATGAATATATACATTATTTATAACACTTGTTAAATAAATAAAATAAAAAAATTATGAATGTTTCGATGATTTGTTATTTCCCCTAATTGATTCCAGTGAAAAGAATCACACGTTGATGCGTGCTTACTAGTCAAATGTTGAGTCACTAAGTAGGTTTGTCCTTAAGTTCTAATGAGAAGTTGTCAGCAGTAGGTTTGATGCGTATCTTGTCGACAGGAAATAATTAACCGGTATCTGTAAACCTTGGCGTTGCAAACGAAACACCGGATAATAAATACGTAAACAGTGGCCTTGATCCACGAATCCGATGAGCCCATATTAAAAATGCGGGAATATAAATCCACTACATGAATTACGCTACAAATGCCATCTAGAGGTAGTAGCATTTGATTAGTATCGGGATAAAAGGCCTATAGGAAGCTTTTATATATGGAGGAGTAATGTCTTTGCAGAAGTATGCAGCTGCTTTTGATGGGTGAGTGTACACATGTTCTGTTACAGATAATCTGTCTGTCTGTTTTAAGAATTAGGAGGCTTTCCTGAGATACATACGAGAAAGTTACCTCATATAACGCGCTGAAATTTCGACAAGTGAAGTGGGATGTGGTTAGCACGTCCCACCAATTCACTCCCTAACACGAACGAAATAGGCATCCAGTACTCTTTGATTTCCAGTGATTATTCAACTGATGTCGTTTATAGAATTAATACTCTGGCTGGAGTAAACATAATTTATTAGAAGCCAAGCGCACCACCTTGACCAAACTGCCTTAAACAATCATATTATCGCTCTGTTATACTGAAGGCTGTACATGAATTATGCTGTAAATTAAAGACAAGATTGCTCGAAAGAGAATTAAAACAGGTGCGACGATGTATTACATCTAGGTAGACCTGGAATGACCGTTCTCATAAGTGACGAGGATACTTGTATTCACCTTCTCTCGAATATTAGTTACTACTCAAGATCACTTGCTTCTGTCACGATACATTCTCTTTACCCTTGTTAAAAACGACTGATAACATGAATAGAAAAACAAACAATGAGCGTTGTCCAGTTCATTTGGATTCTTTAGTCAGTTATTAACTTCAGTGCAGATGGGTACGTCCAGTTCAGTATAGCTTCGATATATGTATTACTCTAAGGTTAAGTCAATAGTAATTTACTTCTGTCGTAGTACAGAAATTTTGATTTTTCTTTCTTGGCTGAATGCTTTTAGCCTCTAGTGAGAATATCTGACCGATAGGATCCTGCTCCAAGTTTGGTGTGAAACGAAGACTTATCGATAAAACACTGATTGGCCTAAACTTCAACCTTTTGGTGGTTGATTCATTAATAAGTTTACTTCACAACCTGAATGTTCTTAGTTTGATCCCTAATGGGGGTTGTCTAGGTGCGCTACTGTGAAGAGTCTCAAACGGGGATAGAACCGTCATCTAATAACTCTCTGGTGTTTCAATAATGCAAGAACAATAGCTTTTCCAGGATAAAATGGTACCACCTTTCATTTCGTAGTTTTCACACCAGTCGCTAATGTGTACCATGGATGTGAAATTCCAATTTGACAACACTCTTCACTGCCAAAAAGACGGTGTAGGTATGGGTAGTCCATTTAGCCCTGTTTTAGCAAATATATTCATGTCTCATCTTGAAAGAACAAAGTCGAAGCATGCAATCGACGAAACAACTTCTTACTGTCGATGACACACTTGCAGTGTGTAAAAATGAAAGTCATGCTTCCAACCTACTCAGATTATATAACGACCCACGTGGCAATATTTAACTTATCTAAGGAACATGAAAATGATGGAAAGTTCCATTTCCTTGACATTGCCATGCAACGCCTAGAAGATGGCAGTCTTCAGAAGTCAATTTCCCGAAAGCCTACTTGGGAATGACAATACCAATATTTTAATAGTTTTTGTTCAAATAGCTTTAAATGTGGACTAGTCAAGACTCTGTACTACAGAGCTAGGAGATTATGCTCTACAGAGAAATTAGAGGAAGAATTTATGTTTCTCGAAAAGATGTTGAAGAACAATGGTTACCCTCAAAAGTTCATTAACAAGTATGGAAGATCTGAAGTCTAAAATGCCAAGCAAACCACAGTGGAGAAAAAGCTCATTTACATTCACCTTGATTATAAAGGTGAAAATATTACAGCAATTGTAAACAGAAAATTGAGGACGTCTCTAGGCAGAGCCTATCCTGCAGCTAAGCTCATTCCCGTCTATCGAACAACTTGCTCTCTGGTGCAATCAAAAATCGATAGATATCCTTCTCATGTTAACTCCAACTGTATATAGAAATTTACATGTATCTGCGCGAGTAGTTACATTGGAAGGACAGAAAGAAGGGTATATCTACGATTTTCTGAACATGCAACAAAAAGGTAATGTCTGAAGGGAACAAATGCTTTAATCAGTGCCATCACCAGGCATCTCGACACGGGTCATGAAGTGGACGTCACGAATATTATTAGGCGAAAGGATTCAATTCTCCTCAAGTTTGCTGAAGCCATCTCCATCAAGCGCCTGGAACATGATTTATGCGTTCAGAAAGAAGCAGTTATCAGTCATTCTTTGCCCTGGTAACTGTATATTTTTACCTCTCATCTGACTACGTAATTTTGAAAGTTTCCATTGTGTATGATCATTATTGTTCGGAATAGTGTTTAATATTATATATATATATATATATATATATATATATATATATATTATCAGTGTATGCGTATTTTGATCGATTGGTTTTTGTTTGAAATGAACTCTGTGCAAGTATGTTTAAAATTGTTTCTGTAGATATACTACTTAATAATGACTTTGGCCTGTAAACGGCTGACGAGGAGGCAACGAAATAAGCAATGATCGTACCATTTTATTCAAATTAATTAAGGAGAATGAATGTATGAAACTCTCTGGTTATTAAACGAATCTTTAACTGAAGCTCACTTGTAATGACACCGAAATTCCTCCCTTATAAAACCTGGAATTTTAACAAATATATATTCTTGCTATGGTTAGCATAAAGAACTAACTACCAAATCACCTTAAACAACCAATCATCAATGATAGTATCGTTCTCTCAATCAATATAAAAGCGAAAGTACGCCGATGTCACTTCTGTACAGGTACGACAACGTGACACCGTTTGTTCAACGTTGACTAACAACCCAGAGAGACTATTCTGCCGAGAATTCGCCTATCTGTCTCATAGTAATCCCACAGTTCCTAAGTAACTTTTCAGACTGGATTCCGTTCCCAGCTGACTCACAGCTAAATATATATCCGGAAGTGAACCTTGGGAAAGAGGAAAGGTTAGTTATGAGGCTAGTAGTAACCTAACATCGTTGTAAACACAACATTGCTAGTGAAATCGCAAAGATTCAAACCTTCCCTAACTTACTACAGTCGAAACGAAAAAAAATGGCGAATACGAAAGCTGATAACGGATTGTGGTGAATAAAAAGAGCCTGAAAATCAATGAAATTGCAACAGTTTAACACACGCTGTATAGTATTTATTCATCACCAATAATTTTGGCGGTCTTGCCAGCTGTTCGTTTTCCCTCTATTCGTGAATGCTGGTTTCTTTTCAATTGCCGTTGAAGCACGGACGGAAAAAGTATAAAATACTGATATTATGATTATATACAAGAGAGAAGATCTTCATAAAACTAGTTCTCTTGATAAGTTTCGATAAAGAAAGAAAGACGAAATTTGCAGTATGAAATTATATTATCAATCTACTTCACAGGTTCTCATCCAACTGTCATTTACTACCTGAAATTACAATGTCTATATATAGATGATAATAACATACTTTAATGTAGAGAACTCGTAGAGAAGAAATACTATAAAATTGACGCATCTAAAATGTAAGCATTACAATTTTTAGTTTAAGTTTCTGCATCATCAATTAATACGCTTTCAAAGTAGGAAAGAGGGGAGAAAGATAAGACAGAAAACAGAAAAAATTAACAAACAGCGTTAGCTTATAGGTCCGCATATCAACTCAAAAGACAAAAGGCGGTTCCAGTTTATAAGATTGAGATTAAATCAGTGTGTTGAGATCACTGAATTCGATGACTAATTATTGTAATAAAAATCAAAATTCAGTTACCAAGGCAGTGAGAGGTTAATCACACTCTCTTTCTGTAGAAACTTCCGTACCTAGGTTTCGTGAAATGTGTTATCTCAAAAGAACCTCAGGAATACGTACCCACATCACTTACTACCAAAGTCAGAGAGAGATATTACACCAATGAATTGATTATTCAGGTTCAACGCTGATTTTCTGTACAAAACTGTAATATTGCTTCCTACGACTTATGGGGAGTCAACTACCTAGCTTCACTTGACTTGTATAGTTCAGTTAGACATCTGACCAATATTGTCTACATTTTTGATTGTACACTAGTCAGTAACTAGTGTGATGAGTCTAGTCCTATCTTCGGTGCAGACTGAATTCTATCAGTCATGTTTGCAATGTGGCCACCGCGGCAGGTGGCTCGCCATTACGGTGCACTGTGAATTGTTAGTATTAGAAGGTTGCAGGCA